TGGAAAAACGAGATGTTAAGAATTAGAGAATGCTGAACGTGTTTCGGCTCAATTCGCCTTCATCAGAGCAAGATAGAGTGATATCTCTCTCTCTCTCTCTCTCTCTCTCTCTCTCTCTCTCTCTCTCTCTCTCTCTCTCTCTCTCTCTCTCTCTCTCTCTCTCTCTCTAGGGCTGTAAAATAATACACATAAGTTGGTTAAGTGATAGATCATTGCAAAGCCACTAACATTCAAAGCGTTTCGAACAGAATAAAAAATTCAGGTGTTTTCCAGCATGGGTGTTTTTCCAGGCTGCAGGTCTCCCAGTGCACAGCGTGGGCACGGTCTTTGTTCCAGCAAAGAAGAGCAGTGAGAATGGTGAAAAATTTTTGAAGTTTTTCCCTCTCAAGCTTCCACAGAGGAGAGGGAAGAGCGGGAGGAAAAGAGGTAGACGAACATTGTGGAGGTCATCAAGAACCCGCCACCTCAGGTCTATGTATATGGAAGCACAGAGAGTTCCTGAATTCAGGGAAGACATTGTGGATGAGCGGATAAAAGATTTCTAAAAACCTGCCTCAAATATCAGTAGGCATCTCCCCCAAGAGGGGCAAGCCTATACTCCTAAGGTCAGTCAAAAGAAGAACATGCTGAGGTAACGAGCCTGAGGTACTGAAGATCAAGATGAGAGATAGCAACATGCGGAGGGAGATGAATATAGTGTACCATTTATTGACGAAGACAACCAGCGGCGGCGGAATCAGTGGCTGACTGAAGCAGAGTGGGGGATAAAGGAACATCGATCCGGATTAAAACTACAGTTGGGACCCAACAGGTTAAGCTGGATGGGAGGAGAGACAGGCATAACCGCGGAAGCGACCAGGACGATACCAAGCATCGGCTCCCGGAGACAGACACAAATCGTTGACAACTATTCACATCCGAAGATTAATTCATTAAAATTGGCACAAAAACTATGTATATTCTAAGGACGCACATTGAGAAGAACAACAAAATATAGATAAAGAATAAAACACACTACCCTGGAAGCTCAGGAACTGGATCAGAGAAATCAGGGTTGTGGGCAGAGCTAGGTAAAGCCAGCAGAGAACGACATGTCAAAAGACTCGCTGTAGGGGAACAGAGGCGAACGAACAGCGTCCGTTGATGAAGGTGGCGCTGCAGAGCGTCTGAATGAGACTAAGGACAGACTCGCCTTGTGTTCTGGACCATTCTTATCTCGTAATAGTAAGAGTGTTATAAAAATATAGCACACCATTTCGGAGTAAAAAATGAGTCAGGAAGGCTCACAACGGGTCAGAGGGGGGCTCACAACGGGCCAGAGGGACTCACAACGGGTCAGAGGGGCTCACAACGGGTCAGAGGAGCTCACAACGGGTCAGAGGGGCTCACAACGGGTCAGAGGGGCTCACAACGGGTCAGAGGGGCTCACAACGGGTCAGAGGGGCTCACAACGGGTCAGAGGGGCTCACAACGGGTCAGAGGGGCTCACAACGGGTCAGAGGGGCTCACAACGGGTCAGAGGGGGCTCACAACGGGTCAGAGGGACTCACAACGGGTCAGAGGGGCTCACAACGGGTCAGAGGGGCTCACAACGGGTCAGGGGGACTCACAACGGGTCAGGGGGACTCACGACGGGTCAGAGGAACTCACGACGGGTCAGAGGGACTCACGACAGGTCAGAGGAACTCACGACGGGTCAGAGGGACTCACAACGGGTTAGGGATACTCACAACGGGTCAGGGGGACTCACAACGGGTCAGGGGGACTCACAACGGGTCAGAGGGACTCACAACGGGTCAGAGGGACTCACAACGGGTCAGGGGGACTCACAACGGGTCAGGGGGACTCACAACGGGTCAAAGAGATTCGCAACGAGTCAGGGGGACTCACAACGGGTCAGAAAGACTCACAACGGGTCAGAGGGACTCACAACGGGTCAGGGGGACTCACAACGGGTCAGGGGGACTCACAACGGGTCAGAGGGACTCACAACGGGTCAGAGGGACTCACAACGGGTCAGAGGGACTCACAACGGGTCAGGGGGACTCACAACGGGTCAGGGGGACTCACAACGGGTCAGGGGGACTCACAACGGGTCAGGGGGACTCACAACGGGTCAGGGGGACTCACAACGGGTCAGGGGGGACTCACAACGGGTCAGGGGGGACTCACAACGGGTCAGACGGACTCACGACGGGTCAGAGGGACTCACGACGGGTCAGAGGGACTCACGACGGGTCAGAGGGACTCACGACGGGTCAGAGGGACTCACGACGGGTCAGAGGGGCTCACGACGGGTTAGAGGGGCTCACAACGGGTCAGGGGGACTCACAACGGGTCAGGGGGACTCACAACGGGTCAGGGGGACTCACAACGGGTCAAGGGGACTCACAACGGGTCAGGGGGACTCACAACGGGTCAGGGGGACTCACAACGGGTCAGAGGAACTCACAACGGGTCAGAGGGGCTCATAACGGGTCAGAGGGGCTCACAACGGGTCAGAGGGACTCACAACGGGTCAGAGGGACTCACAACGGGTCAGGGGGACTCACAACGGGTCAGGGGGACTCACAACGGGTCAAAGAGATTCGCAACGAGTCAGTGGACTCACAACGGGTCAGAAAGACTCACAACGGGTCAGAGGGACTCACAACGGGTCAGGGGGACTCATAACGGGTCAGGGGGACTCACAACCGGTCAGAGGGACTCACAACGGGTCAGAGGGACTCACAACGGGTCAGGGGGACTCACAACGGGTCAGGGGGACTCACAACGTGTCAGGGGGACTCGCAACGGGTCAGGGGGACTCACAACGGGTCAGGGGGACTCACGACGGGTCAGAGGGACTCACGACGGGTCAGAGGGACTCACGACGGGTCAGAGGGACTCACGACGGGTCAGAGGGGCTCACAACGGGTCAGAGGGGCTCACAACGGGTCAGGGGGACTCACAACGGGTCAGGGGGACTCACAACGGGTCAGGGGGACTCACAACGGGTCAAAGAGATTCGCAACGAGTCAGGGGGACTCACAACGGGTCAGAAAGACTCACAACGGGTCAGAGGGACTCACAACGGGTCTGGGGGACTCACAACGGGTCAGGGGGACTCACAACGGGTCAGAGGGACTCACAACGGGTCAGAGGGACTCACAACGGGTCAGGGGACTCACAACGGGTCAGGGGGACTCACAACGGGTCAGGGGGACTCACAATGGGTCAGGGGGACTCACAACGGGTCAGGGGGGACTCACAACGGGTCAGGGGGGACTCACGACGGGTCAGAGGGACTCACGACGGGTCAGAGGGACTCACGACGGGTCAGAGGGACTCACGACGGGTCAGAGGGGCTCACAACGCGACAGAGGGGCTGACAACGGGTCAGAGGGGCTGACAACGGGTCAGGGGGACTCACAACCGGTCAGGGGGACTCACAACGGGTCAGGGGGACTCACAACGGGTCAGGGGGACTCACAACGGGTCAGGGGGACTCACAACGGGTCAGGGGGACTCACAACGGGTCAGAGGGGCTCATAACGGGTCAGAGGGGCTCACAACGGGTCTGAGGGGCTCACATACTCTATACAATTTATAGTAAAAAAGTGGTTTACTTACGGTCCATCATTACATACTTGTACTTTAGACCTAATAGTTACTATAAGTACTATCATTCAGAAGGATGGGTTGAAATTTATATATATATATATATATACATATATATATACATATATTATATATATATATATATATATATATATATATATATATATATATATATATATATATATATATATATATGTAGTACCTGTAGCCAGAACGCACTTCTCAGCCTACTATGCAAGGCCCGATTTGCCTAATAAGCCAAATTTTCATGAATTGTTTTTTTGCTACCTAACCTACCTAACCTAACCTAACTTTTTCGGCTACCTAACCCAACCTATCCTATAAAGATTGGTTAAGTTAGGTTAGGTAGGGTTGGTTAGGTTCGGTCGTATATCTACGTTAATTTTAACTCCAATAAAAAAAAAATGATGTCATACATAATGAAATGGGTAGCTTTATCATTTTATTAAGAAAAAAATTGGAGAAAATATATTAATTCAGGAAAACTTGGCTTATTAGGCAAATCGGGCCTTGCATTCTGGCTACTAGGTACGACATATATATATATATATATATATATATATATATATATATATATATATATATATATATATATATATATATATATATATATATATTATATATAAATTTCAACCCATCCTTCTGAATGATAGTACTTACAGTAACTATTAGGTCTAAAGTACAAGTATGTAATGATGGACCGTAAGTACAGAAAAGAAGTCAATAACACAAAAGTCAACTTTCAGGTGGTCCACACTACGTGCTAGTACTCTCCACCAAACACTTATTGAAAGTACTTCATTTTAGGAGGATGGGGATGATAGATTAATAATGCTCATATAGTATTATTAGGTGTATAGATAGGTCTAAATTACGTCAGCTTAGGTGTTTAGGTTCTGAATGCAATTATATGTATTCAACCCGTCCTCGACTCAAGTCCAGTCGACCCCTAAGACGCATTCATCAATTTTAACATGCCGTTCATTTAAAATAGGAATTTTCTCATATGTAAATTAATATTGTTATATATTAGCATACTGTACATATTTAGGCATTAGTTAGGTTAGGTGTTTAGGTTTTGTTGGCGATTATTTGTATTTGTAGTACGTGGGTGAAGCATTTACAGTGTTGTGGTTCGAACAAAAGTCGTCAGTGAAGCACCTGTTCCGGAAGTGTTCGAACGTCATCAGTTGTGAATCGTGTGTAAACCGTTTTTTATTCACAAACAAGGGGTTTGGCGGGTGCATGGAATGGACTTTGATCTGTGTTCATGAGGACGGGCTGCGTTCCAAAGCCCCCCCTCCCCTCCCCATCAAAAGTGTTCAAACACTCTCCAAACAACGATTCAAAGCCCCAAACGGAAGAGTTGGATGACTCACAGTGGAGTTCGTCAGCGTGGTTGTCAGGGCAGTCCGGCCAGCCGTCGCACCAGTAGAAGCGGTGGACCCTCGCTCCCGACCCGCACTCTGCGAAGTCTTCTGAAAACACCACAACAAGACCAGTAAACAAGATTATTATGGTACAGTCCTTGAACCCGTTATGCTATGAAAACTATTCAGAGGTATATATGCATTAAACTATATAACTAGCGTATCAAGACTAAACTTTTTTATCTAAATGAATTTGGGGTTCAGTTCTAGAGCCTATTATATGCCTCTGTAACGATTTCCACTACCACCTACAGAATGGGTACAGGGACTTCTAACGCCCACAGCATGGATGACCCAGTTGAACACATCCTATCCACGGACATCAAAATAAAAAAACACAGTTTACCAGCGGTGGTCTCGGGTTAGTGCTTATTTCTGACGCGCCAGAGAGATGCCAGTAAATTTGACTTCTTATTAAATGACAAAGTCATCGCCAGAATCCAGGATAACAGTGTAATGTTTGATAATGTTTAGGCGAAAATGAAGTTTATCGCTTTAAAATATCTTCGAGTTTTGCCAAATTTCATAACTGATGTTATTATTCTGAATACTTATCATTTTCTATTAATCAGTTCAGCTGAAATCTGAAAGATTGATTGATGAGGATTAAACCACCCCAAGAGATAGCACGGGCATGAATAGCCCGTAAGTGGTAGATTTTTTTTGGAGTGAATGTGATACTTGGTCGTAAAGAGGAGTCTGAAAGTGTAAAGGTTATGAGATAGCGACCGCAGGGATAGGTGGTCGCTATACCTGCGTCTGTCCCTGTCCCTGTCCCCGTCCCTGTGCCTGTACCTGTCCCCGTCCCTGTACCTGTACCTGTCCCCGTCCCTCTTTCTGCGCCCCTACCAGAGGTTCAAAGATTTACTCTAACGGTGAAGATGACAGTGAAGGGGTTGACATATCCTGGCTGGCCATAAACAGCGAAGACCAAGTCCTGATGTAACCTGCAGGTGTGTACTCACCAGGTCTGCAGGTGTGTACTCACCAGGTCTGCAGGTGTGTACTCACCAGGTCTGCAGGTGTGTACTCACCAGGTCTGCAGGTGTATACTCACCAGGTCTGCATATATATACTCACCAGGTCTGCAGGTGTGTACTCACCAGGTCTGCAGGTGTGTACTCACCAGGTCTGCAGGTGTGTACTCACCAGGTCTGCAGGTGTGTACTCACCAGGTCTGCAGGTGTGTACTCACCAGGTCTGCAGGAGGTCTCGTCGGAGCCGTCCTTGCAGTGATGGTGGTGGTCACAGACCCTCCCTGGCCTGATACACTGTCCATTGGAGCACTCAAACTCTGACTTCCAGCACTGCCGATGGTCTGAAGGAGGATAGAACACATGAGATATCAGGCAAAAGCTTCTGATATCTTCATATTGTATTATTTCTGCGATTGATGTATTTCAGGGTATTATTCCTGCGGTTATCTTGAGGTTATCTTGATTTCGGGGCTTAGTGTCCCCGCGGCCCGGTTCTCGACCAGGCCTCCACCCCCAGGAAGCAGCCCGTGACAGCTGACTAACTCCCAGGTACCTATTTACTGCTAGGTAACAGGGTGTGTTGATACATTTCCAGACTACACCAATACTTGAGAGTCGCTTGCTCAGGGCCCTCCAACTAGGAAAAGCGAAGGCCACAATAGAGGAGCCCGTACGGCAGAAAATAGACGTACTGCAGAGGCCCAGAGGAAACGCGCCATGCGTAAGGCTAGAGTAACCTCCACCTCTGTAGTAGCGCTCACTCCAGCTATGTTGGAACTATGCTGGAGCCATGTTGGAACGTTGGAGCTATGTTGGAACTATGCTGAAGCCATCTTCGAACTATGATGGAGTTTAGTTGGAACTATGTTGGAGTTTAGTTGGAACTATGTTGGTTATGTTGGAACTATGTTGGTTATGTTGGAACCATGTTGGTTATGTTGGAACTATGTTGGTTATGTTGGAACTATGTTGGTTATGTTGGAACTATGTTGGTTATGTTGGAACTATGTTGGTTATGTTGGAACTATGTTGGTTATGTTGGAACTATGTTGGTTATGTTGGAACTATGTTGGAACTATGTTGGTTATGTTGGAACTATGTTGGTTATGTTGGAACTATGTTGGAACTATGTTGGTTATGTTGGAACTATGTTGGAACTATGTTGGTTATGTTGGAACCACGTTGGTTATGTTGGAACTATGTTGGTTATGTTGGAATTATGTTGGTTATGTTGGAACTATGTTGGTTATGTTGGAATTATGTTGGTTATGTTGGAACTATGTTGGAACCATGTTGGTTATGTTGGAACCATGTTGGTTATGTTGGAACCATGTTGGTTATGTTGGAACCATGTTGGAACTATGTTGGTTATGTTGGAACCATGTTGGTTATGTTGGAACCATGTTGGTAATGTTATAACCATGTTGGTTATGTTGGAACCATGTTGGTTATGTTGGAACCATGTTGGTTATGTTGGAACCAAGTTGGTTATGTTGGAACCATGTTGGTTATGTTGGAACCATGTTGGTTAAGTTGGAACCATGTTGGTTATGTTATAACCATGTTGGTTATGTTGGAACCATGTTAGTTATGTTGGAACCAAGTTGGTTATGTTGGAACCATGTTGGTTATGTTGGAACTATGTTGGAGTTATGTTGGAACTATGTGATCCACGAGTCCATACATGTCAAGTTTTTGGTCCGCATCCATGTGTGTCAATTTAATGGTCCATGGGTCCATATGTGTCACGTTCTTGGTCCACGAGCACATATGTGTCACGTTCTTGGTCCACGAGCACATATGTGTCACGTTCTTGGTCCACGAGCACATATGTGTCACGTTCTTGGTCCACGAGCACATATGTGTCACGTTCTTGGTCCACGGGTCCACATTTGTAAAGTTGTTGAACTCTTCGCACCAGAGGTCATCACTTTCTTCGTTCAACAAGCCAATTAAACTTCGAGTTCGTTGCCATTAGACCGTCGTTCTTCAGATTTTCGGGTCAGTTCAGTTAGCGATCTGAAATGTCAACATTTTGTGAGTGAAGATGTTTCTAAGATTTTTATAATTGTAAGATAGAGTTCCAGAGTGTGTTCGTTATTTTAGCCGAAGTACTTTCCGGTGTTTGGTTTCATATATACGAATTATTCAGGTGTTTGTCTGACAGGTGTTTGTCTGATAGGTGTTTGTCTGACAGGTGTTTGTCTGACAGGTGTTTGTCTGACAGGTGTTTGTCTGACAGGTGTTTGTCTGATAGGTGTTTGTCTGACAGGTGTTTGTCTGACAGGTGTTTGGCTTTATGTGCAAGAGATCGTCAGGTCGTTGGTTTTATCAATCACGAAATCTAGGTGTTCGGTTGAATGACCCAAGAGATGTTTAAACTCTTGGTTCCACGAGTCTTCAAGATCTTTGTTTCGCGAGCTTAGAAGTTCTTCAAGTCCCCAGTTCAATAAGTTTTCATATCTTGGTAGTTTCCCGTATGACCATAAATCTAAAACTCAGAATCCCTGGGATTAGAGAAACCAACTTGGGACTTGGAAACTAACAGACTTGGGAGCTGTACAGCCAAAGTCCTCTCAACACGTTCCAGGACACTTCCAGATCTTTGGAATATCCTGGAGTCTTCGATGGGAAATGTGCTGGTGCAGGAGAAGACAGGAGGAGGAGGAGGAGTGTCTGCGATGCTCAAATGTCACCTCATATTGCGTTCTTGGGAGGACCCAAATTGTGTGATGATGATCTTCTTGAAGTGTATGGTGACGGGGGAGGAAGGAGGAGCAGGAGGAGACTCAGCAGAATAAAGAGAAACAGAAGGAAGAGGAAGAAAAAGCAGATGGGAAAGGTGTAGAAGGAAGAAAATCTGAAAGAAAGAGGAGAACGAAGCAAAATAACGGGAGGTTATTTTGAGATGATTTCGGGGCTTTTTAGTGTCCCCGCGGCCCGGTCCTCGACCAGGCCTCCACCCCCAGGAAGCAGCCCGTGACAGCTGACTAACACCCAGGTACCTATTTTACTGCTAGGTAACAGGAGCATACGGTGAAAGAAACTCTGCCCATTGTTTCTCGCCGGCGCCTGGGAACGAACCCAGGGCCACAGGATCACAAGTCCAGCGTGCTGTCCGCTCGGCCGACCGGCTCCCGTATACCCATAAATCTTAAGTGGGAAACTTAAGGTGGAATACAAGGAGAAGAAAGCATAGAGAAAGGGTGGAAGGAAGAGGATGACCAGAAAATAGAGAAGGGCAGGAAATAAGAGAAAGACAAAGCAAAAATATAAATAAATAAATAAATAAATAAATAAATATGTTTATTCAGGTAAGGTACATACATACAAGTGATGTTACATTAATGGATTGATATATAGATAGAGCTAGTACATACAATGCCTAAAGCCACTATTACGCAATGCGTTTCGGGCAAGATATCATAAAAAGATGATGGAGGACCATTAGAGATGAAGCTTCTCAGTTGTAAAACTTCAAGAGCATCGTGATCACTCACGACAGACTGACAAAAGACGACTGCTCTGTGAGTGGGGCTAACCTGTCTTGACCTTTTTATTCTCCCCTCCCCCCCCGCCCCCACACACACACTGAAGGTCTTCACATATAATAGCATAAACAAATATGTCTTCCAATTGGGCATTTGTGATTTACGCAATAAACAGCATGGTATTGACGAGGCCATGCATCATAGAGAGGTACAGCATTACAAGGATGCACTGCACAAGGATGGAACCTCTCTAGTGACTGATGACAGGGACCTCTCTAGTGACTGATGACAGGGACCTCTCTAGTGACTGATGACAGGGACCTCTCTAGTGACTGATGACAAGGACCTCTCTTAGTGACTGATGACAGGGATCTCTCTAGTGACTGATGACAGGGACCTCTCTAGTGACTGATGACAAGGACCTCTCTAGTGACTGATGACAGGGATCTCTCTTAGTGACTGATGACAGGGATCTCTCTAGTGACTGATGACAGGGACCTCTCTAGTGACTGATGATAGGGACCTCTCTCTAGTGACTGATGACAGGGACCTCTCTAGTGACTGATGACAGGGACCTCTCTAGTGACTGATGACAGGGACCTCTCTAGTGACTGATGACAGGGACCTCTCTAGTGACTGATGACAGGGACCTCTCTAGTGACTGATGACAGGGACCTCTCTTAGTGACTGATGACAGGGACCTCTCTAGTGACTGATGACAGGGACCTCTCTAGTGACTGATGACAGGAACCTCTCTTAGTGACTGATGACAGGGACCTCTATAGTGACTGATGACAGGGACCTCTCTAGTGACTGATGACAGGGACCTCTCTTAGTGACTGATGACAGGGACCTCTCTAGTGACTGATGACAGGGACCTCTCTAGTGACTGATGACAGGGACCTCTCTAGTGACTGATGATAGGGACCTCTCTAGTGACTGATGACAGGGACCTCTCTTAGTGACTGATGACAGGGACCTCTCTAGTGACTGATGACAGGGACCTCTCTAGTGACTGATGACAGGGACCTCTCTAGTGACTGATGACAGGGACCTCTCTAGTGACTGATGATAGGGACCTCTCTAGTGACTGATGACAGTGGACGTCTCTAGTGACTGATGATAAGGACCTCTCTAGTGACTGATGACAAGGACCTCTCTAGTGACTGATGACAAGGACCTCTCTAGTGACTGATGATAAGGACCTCTCTAGTGACTGATGACAAGGACCTCTCTAGTGACTGATGATAAGGACCTCTCTAGTGACTGTTGACAAGGACCTCTCTAGTGACTGATGATAAGGACCTCTCTAGTGACTGATGACAAGGACCTCTCTAGTGACTGATGATAGGGACCTCTCTAGTGACTGATGACAGAGACCTCTCTAGTGACTGATGACAAGGACCTCTCTAGTGACTGATGATAGGGACCTCTCTAGTGACTGATGACAGAGACCTCTCTAGTGACTGATGACAGGGACCTCTCTAGTGACTGATGACAGGGACCTCTCTAGTGACTGATGACAGGGACCTCTCTAGTGACTGATGACAGGGACCTCTCTAGTGACTGATGACAGGGACCTCTCTAGTGACTGATGACAGGGACCTCTCTAGTGACTGATGACAAGGACCTCTCTAGTGACTGATGATAAGGACCTCTCTAGTGACTGATGACAGGGACCTCTCTAGTGACTGATGACAGAGACCTCTCTAGTGACTGATGACATGGACCTCTCTAGTGACTGATGACAGGGACCTCTCTAGTGACTGATGACAGAGACCTGTCTAGTGACTGATGACAGGGACCTCTCTAGTGACTGATGACAGAGACCTGTCTAGTGACTGATGACA